CTTTTGTGAAGATCAACTGTGAAGATTCACAATTTGGAGTGTAAAAATTTAGCTTGGTAATGAAATGATTGTGGAGTTATTTGACTTGTGCAAATACAAATACACTCTAAGAAAAGTCCAATGTACTTTTTTAATATGAAGGAATTTTCCGTATTGATTTTTCACGTGTTTTGCATATTTTAAATTATGCATTGCATTGTATTGTGTTTTAGAGTTGAATGAATTGTCGTAAACGTACAGAAAATGTACTTGTAATTTTCTGCCGGGACAGTATTAATTTTTCTACAGATTTTTTTTTCTTCTTAGAGTGTACAATAGAGTCCAAATCTGTGGAAATGCTTATATTTTGTATTATTTTTCAAATTTTGTATTATTTAAATCTAAAAATAGATGTTCACTTTTGGACCCTGTATTGATTTATATATATATATATATATTAGTGCCGTCAAATGATTAATCGCATCCAAAATAAAAGTTTTTGTTTACATAATATATGTATGTGTACTGTGTATATTTATTATGTATATATAAATACACACACATACAGTATATATTTTGAAAATGTTTACATGTATATACATTTATATATTTATATTCTTATATTTTATATTATATATTTAATATATAAACATAATATATTTTCTTAAATATTTACATGCATGTGTTTGTATTTATATATACATAATAAATATGCACAGTATACACACATATATTATGTAAGCAAAAACTTTTATTTTGGATGAGATTAATCGCGATTAATCGTTAAGACAGCACTACTATATATATATATATATGATTCAAATATCACATCTCATGATATGATATATGATGAATTTGATGATATCATGTTAACAGACTATAAAAGGAGTCAGTGTATGTGTAAGATGTCTACTTAATTCTACATTAGTCTACTTAATTCTGGTGCATTCTAATTCCTGATGCATTATTATTTATTATATAAATTGTACAAATGGCTGAAATTTAAGAACAGAGAAGAATAAATGTCTTTCTTTTTTTTTCCTTTTATTAATTTTCTGCTGGGACAGTATTAATTTTTCTACAGATTTTTTTTTCTTCTTAGAGTGTACAATAGAGTCCAAATCTGTGGAAATGCTTATATTTTGTATTATTTTTCAAATTTTGTATTATTTAAATCTAAAAATAGATGTTCACTTTTGGACCCTGTATTGATTTATATATATATATATATATTAGTGCCGTCAAATGATTAATCGCATCCAAAATAAAAGTTTTTGTTTACATAATATATGTATGTGTACTGTGTATATTTATTATGTATATATAAATACACACACATACAGTATATATTTTGAAAATGTTTACATGTATATACATTTATATATTTATATTCTTATATTATATATAAACA